AAAAGGGCAGTTTTCAATGCGTTTGTCGCATTGTAGGGTGCCAGCATTCCGCATTACAGAGTAACCCCCCGATACTGGCAAGCGACAAACTGTGAATTGATGAATCAACGAGATCAAACAAACATACGTACAGTCAAGAATGATAGAATGTATTCTCTCAATCGTGACGTACAGTCTGCTTTAAGACACGAAGAAGGGCACAGCACGGAAGATGTCATCCGACCTACAGAGAACGTATTAACGAATACCGGGCATAAAAGCTCAAACTCAAAAGAGCCAGAGCTGTAAAAAATTTGAAACAATTTAGCAATCAATGATTGTGCTACCAATATTATTATTGCAATGAAAATTGGTTGCTTTCATTCTGATTGTAAAAATTAAATCTTACATTAACAAAGAATCATCAGTCGTTGAACTAAAACGAGCCAACAGAAAGGGGGCCGCGCTGACTCCAGAAATTTAATGCCCCTTAATCTCCATCTTGCAAATCGGCAGGAATGCGAGCAACGTTACTGTTGGTGGATATGTGGACGGGAATGAGCGAGCACTAATTGTGGATACGGGCGCATCACATTCCATCATTCGGCATTGCCTGAAGCCAGGTTGAGGACAGCAACTGGTGCGGACACCCAACATGCAAAGTTTCTGTTGGGAATGTGGAAGTGTTACACAAGTTCATAGTGGCGGAGATTGTGGATGAAGTCGTCATTGGGGTAGACTTCTTACTTAATCAAGGTATCCAGATCGCCATTAGCAGCAAGCGAGTAATCCTAGAGGAAAGAGAACAGATTCCACCGAAATCAGAAACAGTTGTTTGGGTGAAGGCTGATGTGGATTCTGGGAAAAACAAATCGTGAGTGGTTGGTAAATCCCTGGCTAAGACATAAAAAGATGGACGCGTTCCAGCTCGAGTACTTAGTGAGTTCAAATCACCAATCAAACTGCGAAGAGAAACTGTATTGGAATAATATCGAGAGGTTGAGGCCATCTTCAATTGCGGAATTTTACCTGGAAGCGATTCCATTGGCGAGAATGACATTGCGGAAGACATAACTGCTTCTACGTCAGGGTTGAAAGGAAAATACCATCACAAGGCTAAGGAACTTCTCCGCAGATTCTGAAACATACTCGACAAAGATGACAACAAACCAGGTAAAGAACATTGGGAAACATCGCATTGATACTGGTGATCCAAGGCCGATACGTCCAGGATGACCAAATGTGGTTCTGCAAGACTACCGAAAACTAAATGATGTGACTAAGGACAGCTATCCATTGTCCAGAAACGATTATACTCTGGACGCGTTGACCCGCACGGAATGGTTCTCAGTAGAGCTGTCAAACTATCGATAGTCAAGTCCATCGATGTTTTACGATAGTCTTAAATGTGACTATCGATAGTATCGACCCATTTCATAAGTTTTTCTAAATCCATTTATTTTTCGTTATCTTGCTATTATAAATTTGTTTATTTTAAAGGCTCACGGTTGCATTTTAGTATCGAGAAATATTGCTGGAAATTCATTCGCCGTGTAAACAGTCAAAAAGCGATTTCAGAAATTTTCCCTGCAATTCGCCTTTCGGAAGTAAAAAACTTTCTTTCGAAAGACACTTTACATGCAAGGTGCCACTGCTCATGAAATTGCTTTCTGAAATTTCTCAATTTGACAGTCTTTTGAAATATACTGCATTGCCACGTCTGACACGCTCTTAAGACGGCAATGTAACCTCTGATATTTCCACGCTTAAAATAAAAAATGGCGCTTTTAGAAATAATGCCATGAACCAACTAAACAAATCACCCAGCACTGCAACCGTGTATTCGTAATTGCATTTGAGAAAAAAAATAATAGTTGATATCGTAATCTTTTAATCGGCTGTTTCATTCACACACATGGCTTCATTCCGTTTTATTCACATGGCGGCGAAAAAATTACGTCTCTGCAAAAACGAACTTTTTTCCCACTCCGTCCTGGGTGATCTTTATTCGTTCGTTCGTGAAATAATGCTGCCAAGTTTTGTTCTCTTTGAGCCAATTCGTGCAAATGTCAAAAGCGCTAGGAAAGAAAATAAGTTATCAATAAAACGATAGTGGCGATAGTACTAAAATTGTCGATAGTTATTTCATGTGACTAGACTATCGATACTATCGATAGTATCGTCGATAGTTTGACAGCCCTAGTTCTCAACGCTCGACCTTAAAAGCGGTTATTGGCAAGTGGGGGTAAGTGAGAAAGACAAGGATAAGAAAGCCGTCAGCGTTGGAGATGGTCTTCGGCAATTCACGGTGATGCCTTTGGACAAGGCAACGCTCCTGCCACTTTTGAAATACTCATGGGCCATATGCTGAAGGGACTACATGTTTGGTGTATCTAGACGACATTATCGTATTGGGTAAAAGCACCTGTAGGGAAAACACGAACTACTGAGCCAAATTTCTAGTTCAGTACTAGTTCTTTTTCGCCAAAAATGACCCAGTCCGATAGTAACTAGTCACGCACCAGTCCAAAAGCAATGAAATGTGGTACTTTCACTAAACTATTTTATTTCAAATTTTAAACGCAGGGAAGGTAATCATTATGAGAAAAATAATTTAAATCAGCATTTAATCATTATGTTATGAATGATTATTGGGTTTTATTTTTTCGCTCAAACGGAAATAATCATTATTTGATTTTTATTTTTGGGATTACAAATAATGATTATTTTATGATTTTTATTTTTTCGCGCAGAGATTATCATTAATTTTGAGTTTTATTTTTCCACTTAAAAATTATGATAATTTATAAAATTGAAAAGGCCATACATACGCAACCTACTGAAATTTTAACCTGAAAAGTCTGGGTCTTATTCCTCTTATAAGGGTGCGGCTACCTCTCAAAAGGATACGTCGGTAATCACGCTGGTATAGTTTTTGAGTTGCTTAATAATCATTATACTTAGTGATTCCATAAAAAAGGCCATGATCCTGAAGGACAATTGAGAAAGGCAATGCATTTGCAGAAAAAGAGGCATTTAAAAAAAAGTGTCAAAATAATTACCACTTTCTCACTAAATTTATTTAAAAATTCAAGCCACCAGAGCTACCTTTTTATAAGAAAAGACAAATTAATTTTTGTTTATGCAATCCAGCACAGCTACCTTAATACAGTCAGTCAATAAAGTTTAGGTACAACGATTTTTTTACAATACGGGCAACTGTTTTTTAAATATTTTAGTTTTCGGTAATTTTTTATAAAAATATGGTAAATTCTACAACAAAATCCCCAAAATCAGAGTTCCAACCCTGTGCAAAATTTAAGAAAATTCTGAAAAATTTCATTAAAATAATTCACTTTCTATTTACGCTCTCTAGAAAAAGTTGAGTTTTCAGTTTTTTAGCCCATTCAATTTTAGTATAATGAAGTGCAAGTATGAGAAAGCAAGGGCTTACCAAACAACAAAAAAAATTGCTAAATATGAATGGTAAGTCCTAGCTACCTCAAACTTGCACTTTGTTATACTAAAATTGAATTTGCTAAAAAACGGCATACTTAACTTTTTTCTAAAAAGAGTGTAAATTGCAATATTTGGAAGGGAATTTTCGGAGTTTTCTTTAATTTTGCATAAGGTTTGGAACTCTGATTTTTGGGGTTTTTGGTGTAGAATTAACCATATTTTTATAAAAAATTAGGGAAAAATAAAATATTTAAAAAATAGTTGCCGGTATTGTAAAAACTTCCCTGTACTTAAACTTTATTGACTGACTGTATATCTTATTTAAGTTAAGTACGACAAAAACTTTCGAAGTACTTCATATACATATAAGCTTAAAAAGAACTGAATTTACTTAAAAATTAATATGCTTAAATTTAGACAAGTAAGACAAAGTGAACTAATATTTTTACTTTTAAGCAGAACGCACTTTTGTTTTTTACTTACTACTTAGGTTTAATACTACTACTACTACTAATGTGGTTTATACATTTTTAATAAATGTGCTTAAACATTTCCTTCCTTCAACCGATCGTATTTAATATAAAAGGGAAATGTTTCGACAAGCCTGATTAGAAATATAGATCTAAGGTGACGAATTTATAACAGGTTGGGAACTATAGAAAATGGATGCAGATCGAACTAGATCTCATCTGTCGAATTAGGAACTGGTCTGGAACTAAAGAAAAGGGGATGCAGAACGAACTAGATCTCATCTGTCGAATTTGGAACTGGTTCGGAACTATAGAAAAAGGGCTGCAAAACGAACTAGATCTTATCTGTCGAATTTAGAACTTGTTCGGTACTAGAGCCAAAGGGATGCAACGGGGGACAATTGACACTTCCTAGGACATCGCAATGTTAAATTCGCCATTCGCTAGCATGCAAAAGAGAATTAACGCGCACTAGTCATGGTTCCAAACGCACTAGAACCGAACCAGTTCCGCACTAGTTCGTTTCCCTACAGGGGCTTTGGGGAACACCTTAAGAATTTGGAAGATGTTCCTCTTATTATCGTCGATTTGTTCCGAATTCCGCCAGCGCTAGGTAGAAAACGGAACGGCTATACACTGCACCTATGCTAACGTACCCGGTTCCAGGTGCAGCATTTATTTGGGATACGGATGCTAGTGGGTGCCATTAGTGCGAGCGCAGGTGTATAAAGGCGTTGCTACAGCGCACACCAAATTCTGTTGCAAAGCAGAAAGCGACGAGTACAGAGATCAAGTGCCTTATTATGTTTTTTACATAAAGTGTACATGTTTTGTACATATTTACTGATTTTTAAGATTTGATTTTTTGTGATACATATAATTCCCCTATTTAAGTAGCTAAATTAAATTTTTTTTTTGAAATTAAAGCTTTTACGTTTAAAATGCAGTAATATATTAAAGTTAAGGTCTCTTATATGTACGTAGCTGAAGACAACACTGTGCTTACTTGTTTACAGGGATGTCTCAAATTTACAAGAATTATACGTATATATAATGTAACTAATTTTAATAACATTTCTTTCTTTCTTTAAGACACCCACGACGTTGTTATGCGATTTAATCATGCGCCTACATCAGGATATGAGGTGGACGTTGGAAGTAAAACCACAATACGGGTCTTAAACTCCCAAGTAAGTTGTACACAATATGGGTTTTCACACCAATTTCGTTACGTCGCACAGAGGAGTATTTGCATAGTAAAACTGTAATTAAATAAAACATGAAACTTAATCATGATTAGGAATTTATAGGATAAAGATTACTAATTACACTTATCTTAGGATCATTCTCGGAAATATTTCGTTATATCACCGTACGACAGTAAATTTTACACACAAATAAGTAATTTTTAAGCAAAAAAACACCGACTTCAATTCTCATATACAAATTTAAGATTATTGTTAGTATCTTCATGATCCAATGATCGGATTTAAACCAAATTAGGATGGGACCACCTGTGAGGTAACACCTTTCCTCTAAAAAAAGAATTATAGAAATCGGTTTACATGGTCCAAACTTATGCGGTAACATACATAAAAAAAAAATATTTCGACAAATTGATAACCTTTTTGTGCAATCGGTTAAAAATAAATATAATCGCAAAACTGTGGGCCAAATATAGTAGAAATGCTTTCTAGTTTTTCTCTCTGACGTCAGGATATTTTGAAGGACTTAGAAATTTGAAAAGTATGATTTCTACAAAAAAAATTTTTTTTATTCAGTGTAAAGTAGAAAAACGGATTTGATACCTAATTAAGGAAAAAAATCTGTAGAATTAAAGCCGGTTAAATTTTTTGGTGCATAGGACGCTGGGGATTGAAATTGTTTTTTTTAAATTTTGTCCTACAAAATATCTTTGAAATTTTGCGATAATTATTTTTTAAAAAATTATATGTTCAGGACTAATATGCACTCAACCACATCCTCCAAATTCATCCTTCTAACTTTACCCATTCGTCCTTGCTAACCAAAAAAGTTTACTTCTTAAGTCTGCAGAATTTTCGCTTCCATTTAGTACCCATGTTTTTATTCTATATTGCATTGAATTTTTGGAATTTTTCATATCATTGAAACTACACAGTCCTTTTCAAAAACATCCTGACGCCAGAGAGAAAAACTAAAAACGCAGTTCTTCTATATATGGCCCAAAGTTTCGTGAGTATATTGATTACCCCGTGCGTTTTGAAATTTTTCGGTTTTTGTCGCACGGTGTATTCAGTTACCATAAGTCCACCAAAAACTTTTTCAGAAAAAGATAAGAACGGAATTCGTTTTGGTAGAACATATTTAGGTTTGACGAATTTAGATATGAACTTAGTCCTCTTAGACTGGCCCTTGATTGCGAGTCGTGCAAAAAGTTTTCGTTACTAAAGTATTGATGCTTTTTCAATTTCAATTAAGTACTAAATAACTTAAAAATAAACAAGTAAGAAAGTCTTAGTTCGGGCCGAGCCGAACACTAAATGCCCGGCGCAAGTATTAAATGTACATATGCTTTTCACCTTTCCGAAAACTACCACTACATGGTAAGGAGGGGTGGTTTTGCTCCTATTTGAAACATCTTCGATAGAACATTCAGTTAGAAATAATCAGATAAACTTATAAAATCATATGTGGGCGGTATCACGCCCATTTTCCAAAATTGCAAATAATGTTACTTCTTATCAAGGAATTGTTGCTAGTATAAATTTTGAGTAAATTAGCGTCCTTAAATTTCGAAATATCGAAGTTTCAAGAATTTCTGAAATTTACCGTTGTATGAAAAGTAGGGATGTGCCGGGTATCCGGTAGATATCCAGAATTCGGCTTATCCGGGGGTTTTTCTGTCCGGCCGGATATTGGCTAAAATCCGGCCGGTTATCCGGATTTCAATTATAGAAGATTCAATTTAAAAATCTAGTTCAAAATATTTTATTTACTTTTACAATAAAATTTATTACTAATTATTAGTAATTAGAGTTAAAAAATTATGTATTTTTAATTATGAAAAGAAGCACTACCGCATAATCGGGCAACAACCTATTTCCATTTTCAACATAAGCGCTACCCGATGCACTCTTTAGAAGTTCACTGAGCAAGGTGGTGCGCAGAGCCACTTCATTGCCAGTGTAAACAAATTTGAAATTCTTCGCGACTATGCTTCCACCAAATTAAAGGATCTTCTTGTCTGGGTATAAGGGTTAGCTGTAAATATTTCTCCATTTCTAAATCGCTGCCTTTTTGCAAGCTTTTATTTTTCTGTACGTTCGCACAGTGGGACTTCCCCATATAAGATGCGATCAAAAGTAGTAACCGTCCTACAAATTCGCTGAAATTTCGTAAATGCTCTATTCTGCACTTAAGAATGAAGAAATCTGGAAAATAGTAAATGTCGACGCGCTACCACGCCCAAAGCTCTTGTGGTGGAAATAGTAAATGTTATCTGATTTTGATGTAATTCATATTATACGCTGGTTTTAATTATAAAATCATACATCTGAAAGAACTTCAAAATTGGCTTACATTATCGTCCACCAATTCCAAAAAAAGAGGCGCAAATTAAAAAAAATATTTTTTGATGAAATTTGGTGTACATTGCTCGTTTGCGCAAACATTTTCCAATTTTGGAGACAATAAGGAGTTTCTTACTATGACACCTACCTTCTTATATAGCTTTTTTAGCCCCACGCACTAAATTTATTTTGTTTCTAAAGAAGTTCCTATTTCTTCACTTTAAAAATGATAAAACTAAAACATTTACAATACCTGCATACTAAATTATGTGCATGATATGTATTTGCACTAAAACTTTCAATTCTACCTTGATTTTAGATAACAAAAGCTGTGCTAAAACAAACAGGACTTTTGCCATCGAAAACTGATCTCGTCCAGAGAAGCGTCCACTTTTGGTTGAATGCTGAATCTGATTAATAGATTCGCTAGGCATTAATATCCATTTCCATTTTATTTTGCATATTATTTATTTTGTGTACATATCAGAGTCTTTTCCTTCAGCTGTATAATAAAAATTCATAGGAGGTGTGTCTATAAAAATCTGAATAGAGGCTGAACTCGCAGTTCCTCGCGGCTGGAACTATTTCAGATATGACACGTATATTTAATGTTTACTTGTCCTAAGTAAAATTTACCTCGCTTCCTAGGTCCTTTATAAATATCCCATTTTAAAGTAAGCACTCGAAAAATTTCATACTAAAAAAATTATGTAGAACTTTAAGAGAAACTCTTGTAAATTTCACTATTCATATAAAAACTTAATTCAATGCATGACCACAGATATATTAAAAAACTGGTCACCAATCAGATTGCCTTATTATATATATGCAAAAGTAGAAAAATTAATTTAAATTACTTTGTCGTAACCATCCATAACTACTGGAGTCAATCGCCACTTTTGGACTACTGCACCGACTTCTGGGAAGTAGCTACTCTATTAACCCGTGGTTGTGCGCAGGGTAGTGCAGAGTCGAACGCGTCTGAAGTAGAATTCCGAAGAACTACGAAAGGGGGCGCCCATGAATCACGCAAGTAACTACTTTAGTAGCTCCTGGTAGTGCAGAGAGAGCCGATGGTGACTACCGCCCAGGGCATTGCCTTCTAAAAGTAATCGCTGAAATACGCGGCAAGTAGTCGATCGGTAATAGACGGAGTTTACTTGGTTACCGTCAGTTCTGTAGTAGCTCTCCTGTGCTGCTGGGAAGTCAATTAAAGAAAAAAGTAAGTGCGCCTGGGCCACACTGGTGAAGTGAAACTTACGTTACATACATATCTATTTTGTGTCATAACCACTATACATACAAACATACATCCGCATTTGATTAAGTTTATATTTTTGGTCTATTTTCTATCTAGATCCCTACCTCTACCCTGTTCGTTCTAATTGCATTTATGTTATTCTGTTTTCCTTTATCCTCATTTTTATCTTTATACTCTATCGATAACAAAATCGATAGTAACATCCAATAAAATATCGATAACAAAACCAATAAAAACATCGATAACAAAATCGATGAAAAATTCGATAAAAATTTCGATAGCAAAATCGATTATAATATTGGTAGCAAAATCAATTAGAAACTTGATAAAAACATCCATAACAAAATAAAAAATCGATTAAGTAGATAACAAAATCGATAAATATCGATAACAAAATCGGTAAATATCGATAACAAAATCGATACAAATATCGATAACAAAATCGATGAAAAACCAAATCTATAAATATCCGTAACAAAATCGATAAATATCGATTACACTTGATAAAAATATCGATAAAAACATCCATAACAAAATAAAAAATCGATTAAGTAGATAACAAAATCGATAAATATCGATAACAAAATCGATAAATATCGATAACAAAATCAATAAATATCGATAACAAAATCGATAAAAATATCCGTAACAAAATCGGTAAATAATAATAATAATAATAGATGAAGAGGTTACCATGGTATACACATGTAACCATAAGTGGGCGTGGCTACGACCTTTTCCAAAAATTTATAATATTCTTATTTTTCGTCTAAAAATTATTGTAAATATCAATTTTGAGTGAATAATCTTCAGTAGTTACTAAAATATCGCAGTTTTCGCATTTCTAAAAACTACCGATATATGGGAGGTAGGCGTGGTAATGAAGGAAGTATACGTACCAAGTTTCGTTAAGATATCTCAATTTTTACTCGAGTAATCGTGTACGCAGGCGGACGGATCATTTATGTATACATTTGTCATATAGACATATATAAAGGCGGACTACCCCGTTCGTGTCCGTACTCTTTTTATTAATAATTTTTAGCGTTCCTTTCCCAATCTGTCTCACTGAGAGCGCGACAGAAATATGCTGAATACTCTTTGTTCGAATCAAATTGATTTTGAGTTTCTGTCCGAACGACTTGGTGATTCGGGTTGCCGTGTTCCCCTTTGTATGCGTTTACAGCGAATTGCATGTATTACTTGCCTTCAAAATCGTATGTAGGCAACAATATTATCAGCACTTTGCTTCAGAACAAAATCAAATGTGCCGAACTGAACGGTGAACCGTACTTCAGCACCCTCTCCGACAAAAATTTTTGAGAGCAAATAAAGAGTTCTCCGGACACGAACGGTGAACCCGCCTTAAGTATACCAC